ATTCTTCTGGGTTTTCTAAACTACTAATGAAGTATGTCGATGATCCTAACACTCTGCTAATCTTGAATGGTCCTTCATACACTTCAAATAGTTTGGCAGTCTCGCCTTGCGCTAAATTTGAAAGAGGATGATTTCTTATGAGTACTAAATCGCCTGGATGAAAATAAGTTGGATGTGATTTGTTATGGTTTCTTCTGGCTCTTATATGACGCTTTTCTATGATTCTCTTCGAAGTTAAATATAGTTTGTGTGGGAGTGGTACTTCATTGATGAAAGGATTCTTAATGTATTTTTCCCAAAAGCGGATGTTTCTTTGCCCAAATTGTAATTCATTTGGGGAGAAACCAGTTGTCTCATGATATATTTCATTAAGGCACTCATTAATGTCTGGAATATAAGTAGCCCACCTTCGTTGTTGATGAGCACAATATGTGCGTAAACACCTCTTGACTTCTTTAATGGGTCGTTCTGCCATATTGTATCGGAGATAATATACTGGACTGAAGATTGGAGTAATGTCATTTTCTTCTAGTTTCTTAATATATGCCTTGCTTTTAAATTGAGTACCGTTGTCAGATTGTAATCGCTTTGGTATGCCATATGTGGGAAAATGAATGTTAAACAATTTATTCAAAATAGTCTGAGTAGTAGCACGTCTCATATTATATAACTTGACAAACTTAGTATAAATGTCTAGAACGATCAATATGTATTTTACTTTACCAATACTAGTCGGTAGTGGTCCGATTATGTCGATTGCCACTTGTTCATTTTTGCCAGTGCAACTAATCCCTTGAGCAGAACCATATAGAGTATGAGGAGAAACTTTACATCTTTGACATGAGTCACAGGTGGCTAGGTTAACTCTAATACGTCGATGCATATTTTTGAAAATGAAATATTCTTGCAGTAGAAGAAAACATTTCTTTGGTCCGCAATGCAGATAATAATAATGACATTCCCATATTAATCTGTCAATGACACAATTTGGAACACGGAACACTAATTAACCAATTATCTTTGTATTTCTGATATAGAATCCCTTTATGAAGTTTGTATTTCGTTGAGATTCAATGGAATTCAGGTGTATCTTCTGGATTAGAGAGTATTTGATATATGGTTTGGGGTCGGCAATCTTCTGATTGTAATTTGGGTAAATTCTGAAGAGCGTCTCTCAGTTGAGGATCAGGAACACGACGAATGTAATTAATGGTTAACTCAGGAGTTGTTGACTCTGGTTGTTCTGAATGGGTGATGCGGCTTAGAGCATCTGCTGTGAGATTATCTGATCCTTTACAATGTTCAATTTCAAAGTTGTATTCTTGTATGGCTAGAGCCCAGCGAGTTAACCGATTGTTCAACAATTTACAGGTTTGCAAGAAAGTAATGGCATGGTTATCAGTCAAAATTTTAAGTTTTGCTCCCAAGATGATGTATCGGGTTTTCTGTAAACAATATACTATTGCTAGTAGTTCTTTTTCCGTAGTAGTATATCTCTGCTCGGCTGGCTGCAAGGCCCTGGACATAAATACTATCGCTGCTTTGTCTCCATTTTCCAAATACTGAAATAAGTGTCCACCTATGGATAAATCAGATGCGTCTGTTTGTAAATAGTACGTTTTTGAAATGTCTGGGTGATGTAAAACATTTGCACTTAAGAACAGTTGTTTGATCTTAGTAAAAGTTTGTTCGTCTTCGAGTGTCCAAATGAATTTATTCTTTTTTGATGTTAAACGTAAAAGTGGCTGTACATTGGCTGCAAATTTATCCAAGAATTTGTTGTAGTAATTAATACATCCTAAGAAAGATTTTAGTTGTGTTCGGTTTTTGGGACTGGGGAAATCTAATATTGGTTTTATCTTAGTTTGATCCATTTCCAACCCGTTTTCTGTCAGAGTATAGCCCAAAAATGGTACTGAATTCAAACAGAATTGTGATTTTCCAAAGTTTATCGTCATATTTGCTTCATGTAGTTTCTTGAAAATGTACTCTAAATGTTTTAAGTGAGTTTTGAAATCAGGAGATATTATACAAATGTCATCTACATAGATCATTGTGAAGTCTTCAACGCTGTCATCAAATACTTGGTCGAGTGCTCGAACTAGGGCGGCTTGCGACGTGGATATCCCAAAAGGTGTGACCCTATATTGATATGTTTTACCTCTGAATTGAAAGGCGGTAAATTGTCGTGATTCAAAAGATAGCGGGACTTGCCAGTAAGATGCCGTTAGATCAATACTGCTTATAAATTTAGTGTTGCGACATTTTGCTAAAATTTCATTGATACTTCGATTACCTTCGTAATCCGGTGTGATAATCTCATTCGCTTTTCTAGCGTCAAGGCATAAGCGTATTTCTCCACTCTTCTTTATTACAGGTATTATTGGGTTTATGAATGTACTATTGCTTCTTTCGATGATTCCAAGAGTTTCCATGCGTTCTATTTCTTTCATAACAGCATTTTGGTGTATGGTTGGGACTGGATAACAATGATGTTTGAAATTTTTGGGATTATCAACCTTTAAAACATGTTCATATTTGTTACATATACCAGGAATGTCAGAAAAGGTACTTTTGTATTTAAGTAATAAATCAGCTAATTGTTGTTTCTCTTCATTGTTGATTAAGTTGTTGTCACATATAGCTTTGCTAATCATTTGCGGTGTAAGATCACTATTTATGTTGCTTCTATTTATATTTTCGTATTCAAATGTATTATCACTCATTTTATGGTTATTAATTTGATTGATGTTTTCATTGATTATATGACATAATACTCCTTGGGTACTAACTTTGTCAAACTTTAATATTTTCTGTGAATCATTTATATTTATTATTATTTGTTCTTGATTGAAATCCATAACAGTTTTCCATGAGCTTAACACGTCCATTCCGAATATAATAGGTCTTACTAAATTGGGTACAATCAACATTTGAATGTTTGTGATTTGATCATCTATGGCGATTGGCAACATTATTATTTTTGATATTTTCTTTGATTTATCATTTACAGCGGTTTTAATACTTGTACCGACAACTGGTAGTTGTTCATGACGGCCAATGTTTATTTGGTTCTCAGAGTACCAATTTATCTCAAGCGAGAGTAAATATTTACGTAGAATCCCTCAGTTCGTCACTGTCTTTTACGAAGATTATTTTTAAGTTTGTATCTTTTACAACATCTGCAAGCGACAATTGATTATATGAACAGAATCAAATGTATCATAAACTTATATGACGTCGCGGTTACAGCCGATCAGTTTATGACGCACTCATCATTTCGTTTTGTTTATATGGAGCAGTCGATGATAAATTTTACTTGTCTTTGATAAATATGCTTTCGCCTTTGGTCATATCGTGCGATACATTTATGTTATTCGTCCTTAAAAATGTTGACTTTGTGTATAAGATGTAGGAACATTATCAATAGTTAAACACAATTAACAGTATTTAGTTGATAGTTATATATCTAAGCTGATATATAACTAGCAAAAGTAATTTACCTTTATCCTAAACTTAATTACAGTTAACAGAGATAAATATTAATAATGATGATGTTTTTATTTTAATTTTTAACTGATAACATTGTTTCACAATTATGTTCAAACAATCTGAAGTTTCTAACTGCGACTTTCACAACACAAGTTGGGTTTAATCAACAAATGCATTCCGAATTCATGCCTTATCCAACATTCAAAACTAAACCGAATCAATCCTCGTAAACCTTGTCACAAGCGGGTAAACAACTAGAGAAAACACGGAATAAAACCAAGAAAAGTAAACCGATGCATCCGACGCCAACAAAGACATGAAAAAGAGTTGGAAATGAAAGGGGAGCCGTAAAAAATGATCGAACGGGAACGAGTTAAAGGGCCCGATTAGCCAGTGTCTAATCAGAATTGTCTCTGGTAGGGGGCAAAGCTGGGGGAGTGCAGTGGGGGCTTCGATCCGTGACGTCACTGCCGCCGCTCTTTTTGGACTCCAGTCAGTGAGTGTGGGGATCCCGTGGAGAGCGCCCGAGCGCGACGAACCTGTGCGTGCGTGCGCCGTCGTACGTAATCAGTTCATTTATAAAATACATATGTGTGAAGTGTCAGTCGGGGAGTCTTCCTCAGCAACGTGTGGCTAACACGAGTGGACGACTACGGGTAAAATGTGCGAGTCGTAGTTTCGTAAACAGAACAAATTTGTGACTATTTAAATTTTACTCTTAATAGTTATTTGTACTGAATATATTTTAAAAAACTGAATCAATGCATTGAGTAAATAGTTTGTAGGATATCAAACTAGTTTACATACTTTTTCATCCCACGTCGGAATTTGAAATATATTTGACGGATTTGTCTACCGCTTTGTACTTTGTTGGTGAACCGTTTCCCGCAATGACAGCCGTGTTCTCGTGGTTTATTCAGCACGTGGAGTTGTGCAAGTGAGGCAGGCCAGCCAGTGTTGGGTATGCTGAATGATAGAAAGTGAAAGTGAGAGTTGGTAGGGAGACCGGGGCCCGACACCTCGCTACTAGCCGCGTCCACAGGAAAACTCTACACCACAGACAAATAAACATACTCTAGTGACGATAAATCCACTCACAAGAATACCACCTTAGTGTAAATATCATAATCATACAACTATAACGTAGTGTAACAAAGTTGCGAAACTAAGTGCTACATGAATAAAACAGTTTCGGAACAACAACTTCGCCCACGTTCGTTCAACAGTAGTGACGAATATTAAGAAGGCTGTTTGGTATGCTTTATTACACAACAATCTGTATTCTTCATCCAAGAGTATTTTAACGTGTATTTTTCTCAATAGGGTACAGTTTAAACACGCATTTGCTATAATCATTAGTTGATTGAAGAATTTATTGATATTTATGCATTTTAAATTTTAATTGCATGTTGTTAACAAAAGTGGAGTGCTAAATGTTTTATCTTTGTTAAAGATGTCACTCACATGTTAACTCACACAAATACTTTTAAAACGTATAAATAGCCTCGTGGTTCATTTTAAATTAAAAATTATATATTTTAGACTCTGAACCCCCCAGTGCGACTGTTCGGGAATGTGAAAAGCCCCAAAATGTGTCAGTGGCGACCGACCCTAAGAGACACCCTGTGTATGACTGAGTTTAGGGTGGGTTGAGTGTACAGTGTTACTAGTCACAGCTGATATGTTAGTCACTTGGCTAGTGACAAGCTGGTTAGTCACCCAAGGGTGTCTAGCAGCTGTAGACACCCAGACTCCAGGTTGCCAGTTTCATCCCCTCTGCACATGCGACCGAGAGCTCAGGGAGATCAACTGCAAGAACGCCGGGTTCGAGCAGATCCCGCCGCTGCCCTCTTCACTCATTAAACTGTAAGCTAACATTTATAATCTTATATTTAAAACGTAGTAATATGAGGGAATATAGCTGAAACGGCGTTTCAGGTCATCAAGCACATGCATTTATTTTATTTTGAAAGTTCAACGCCTTAGGAATTTTTGAAAAGTTTCGTAAAGGAACGGTCCGATCTTTGGTCGTAATAATAACCAACGTTTATCTTTAGTTAGATAGGGCTTATAGTCCAATGAAAAAATGTCATTTTGGTACAGAATCAATCTAACTTTAAATAAAACCGGCAACCTTCAGGTTTGAAGGATTATAACTGAAATAATTCGGCTGTCCAGAAAATATTATGATTATTAATGAGTTTGTTTTATAAATGAACTCAAATTCTCCGAACGTTACACGAAGTAAAATATGATTTCACCATTCCATGAGGTGGAATATTAATGCTAAGCATAAGATGCCTTCCTGTATGTTCTTTATCAATTTAATTAGACAATGAGCATCCATCGCCTTTGAAAGCTTCCAAGTTTCTAAAAAGCAGATACCATTAATATGTCTTGCCTGGTAATCTGATATGGCCTAAGTTAAGAGATTTGCAAGGATTATTACGGAAATGTACAGAAAACATTTCATGTATACGGAAACATTTTAAAAGTATTGACGAAACATAATTTTACATCTTTGTAAATATTCTCTCGAGAAAATAAATTCTTATAAAATATTTTTTTATTTTTAGCTGAGAAAAAATTATTTTATATTAAACCATATAAATAATAAGAAAATAATTTTAAACAAGGGATTATTTTTTTCAATTTAAATTTAGTCAAAGGTCTACTAAAACGTCACATCACGTTCTCCTAAAGCTCTTCAATCAAGACGAAACTAATGTTTTAAAAGCGTTTCAAAAATAAAGTAGTACTTCGTTCATTATAATAAAGTAGTACTTCGTTCATTATAATAAAGTCTGCTACTCTAAAAAAAATAATATAAAATGGCTAAACTCTTTGAGTAAGTTATTATTACTACTTTCAATAAAACCTTATAAAAACCTTCGTAAGCGTACATTAAATGATTTAAAAATGTCGATGTGCATTATAATAGCAAAATAAGTTTTTAACCCTAGTTATATATTAAAAGCTACCTTGAAGACCTGCAATATTTGATTTATCTCATCATTTGTGTGTACCTTTACTCGTCAACACCCACAGCCACAATATATACACAGTGTTTGTGTATGATGATTTGTTAATATCTATCAACCTCATTTCGGATTAAAACCAAAATTTGTTTTTTGATTAAAATACTATATTAAAAACATAGCTATATTAAAAAGTACAGTATAAATTTTGCTTAGAAACAAACTTCAATAAAATGTTAGTCGTTTGTCGAGGTCACGTAATGTTTGAGTTAAACCTGACAACAGTTCAGTAACAGTCATTGAACCGTCAAGTTCTAATTTCCATTTGGTACTCTGTTGAACAAGTGAGGGAAAACAAACTAGATGATCACGAGCACAAAATAAATGGTGTTATTAAATACAAATTTAAACCCAACTGAAATAAATGACGATCTAAGATCCATACAAAAATTGTCGTTAATAATCGTTAGAATAAATTTGACACGTTATTGTATATTGTTAACAAATAAATATTTTCTGCTCCTATTTCTTTACTTTTGAGACAACACATACCCTGCAATTGAAAACACAACCATAGAGTTTTATTTTCGTCGCAGAACTCCAAGCTAGTGGAAACTGCCATAAAGTCAGATCTGACCCAATGGGGCGTCTCGTCTGCTACAACGAAAATACTGAATGCGTCCAAGTTTTTTTAAATCTATTTATAAATGTATACTCGTTGATATTTATTTGTATTTATTTAATAATACACACAATTTTGTAAATTCTTATATCGTAAAAAGTGTTAGAACCAAAATTTAATTTTATATGTCTTGTATGCGACCATCATGTGTTGTTGGTATAAATCAATATTATTGCATTCGCATGGTTGGAATTAAGGTTGAAACTCGGGACTTATATTCTGTAGGCCCGCATTCAACTCCAGCTAAACACCAATAACTTGTGGCTTGGTCCAGGGGTTCTGGGTCATTCGTGGCTGTTCACTTATCGAGAGAAAAACAACTGAAAAACAACTACCCTGTTAGGCAAGGATTTCTTTTCCTAAAATCATCTCCTTTAAAAGTCATACGGTAATTTTTCTGTAGTCAATTTGACATTTTATTTGTTGATATTTTTCAACCTTATTTATCCTCATGCTTTTACTCAAACCTTGACAGGTAAGAAATGAATAGGCTTATATTTGTTCGTAAGAAAATATAACCTACCGTTTAGTGAACTAATTGCATTTTTCATATTCCTTAACTAAATATAACAATAATATTGATTCATCAATAATTATGCAACATCCTTGTAAGGTGTTTGAGTTGGTTCTAACTATATGGTTTTATATACGCCCAATCAAATGAATAAAGATTACGAATCTTGAGATCAAATAACACCATAAAGTAACGTTTGGTATAAAGTTAGTAGATAACTTTAAGCCAACATTGAGTACATTTTCTCGATGAACCACATATACTGCACTTTGTTTGAAAATATATCACTGCTCCAGGGAAGATATAAGTTACTTTTATGGCACTCTATTTAATGATAGATATATTTCGCCTCGAGTAAGAGGATAGCAAAATGGTTCAACGTCTTGGTAACTTACTCGGTAATGGTCGTTTTATTCGGAAGAAAAATGTGCATTGGTTCAAACTGTATTGTCTATTGAAATGTATTTTATGTACAGGATTGTAATGTAAATGTTAAGCAATCGTTTAAAAATAATCTTTTGGTAATCACACTAGTCAGTCACTAGAAGTTAGTGACATGGTAAAAGTGCCTTAATTATTTGTGTGAGTCATTCTGCAAGTGAAATTGTTTACATCTTTCTTCTGTGAATAATAGAAAGCACATAATAATGCATGTGTACTGCAGTTAATTATTACCTTGAATAAAGGTAACTAGTGTACATGTTGCTCGAATTCGAGCAATTACAAAGTATTACAGGAGTTATTTCAGATTGAATAACAGTCATATTTACAATGAGTTTAAGAGAGTCGACTCAAATATTACCGTTGTGTAACTCAGACCCCGTTTATCTTCGTTATTGATAAACCTAAAGCATTCCGGACGGTTCTCTCCTTCTCAAAATGCCTCGCTGTACAGGCAACACAGGTCATTAATAGAGGGCCAATTGAGAACGAAAAGTCGTTTTGGGGTAGTGTTAGGGCGCATTTGTAACCAAATAGTTGAAGTTGTCCAGGTTCAGGTTCAGACTGTGATGAGTTAAGCCTATTACGCGCCACTGTTCTGTATTCTGTATAGCTGCGGTCGTTATCACGTTTGCGCCCCCTGTCTTTGTTTCGTTGTCGTTGCGTCGGAGACATTTAAAAGAAATAAACAACAAATAATAAACAAATTATAGCTACACAAAACAACGATAAATGCACAAACTTAAGTTACAATCATGCTAACACAATCCATCATAGCGACACAAAACAACGATAAATACACAAATTTAAGATACGACCATATTTAGTCCTCGCCACCCTAAGTTGAGGCAGCCAAAGGCCGCACGGCGTATATCTAGTGCGACCTTTGGCTGCCTCAACTTAGGGTGGCGAGGACTATAACACGATCCGTCTTGGGGGTTATGTTTACACAAACTCAAATAGTAAATAAATGTACTCAATGTGTTTCATTGAATTGAAAAGTAAATAACAGCAATAAAATTATACAGCTGATCAAAATGTAAACAATTATGTTCTTCATAAGGATAACATGGGATGTTTCAAAGCCACTGGGGCAGAGCCCAAGGGACTTTTTCAAAAATGTAAGGTCAGTTTGCAAATCTACGCGACACGCTCTTTCCAATGAGACGTCAATGGATAAAATCGGTTAGGAAATGGCGGAGGAGTTCAACCGACAAACTTTCGTGTAGCGTATTAATTATATAGACTAGTGTACATGTTGCTCGAATTCGAGCAATTGCAATGTATTACAGGAGTTATTTCAAAACGAATAACAGTCATATTTACAATGAGTTTAAAAGAGTAAACTCAAAGATTACCGGTGTGTAACTCAGACCATGTTTATCTTCGTTATTGATAAACATAAAGCGTTCCGGCCGGTTTTCTCCTTCTCAAAATGCCTCGCTGTACAGGCAACACAGGTTATTCATTGATAGAGGGCCAATTGAGAACGAAAAGTCGTTTTGGGATAGTGTTAGGGCGCATTTGTAACCTAATAGTTGAGATTGTCCAGGGTCAGGGGCTGACTGTGATGATTTAAGCCTATTACGCACCACTGTTCTGTAGCTGCGGTCGTTATCACGATTACGCCTCCTGTCTATATTCGTTGTCGTCGCGTCGAAGGAATTTAAAAGAAAAAACAAAAATAAACAAAATTATAGCTACACAAAACAACGATAAATACACAAATTTAAGTTACAATCGTGCTAATACGATCCGTCATAGCGACGCAAAACAACGATAAATACATTAATTTAAGATACCACCATACTAACACGATCCATCTTGGGGGTTATGTTTTGTTTACACAAACTCAAATAGTAAATAAATAACAGCAATTAAAGTGTACAGCTGATCAAAATGTAAACAATTATGTTATTCATAAGGATAACATGGGAACTTTCAAAACCACTGGGGCAGAGCCCAAGGGACTTTTTCGAAAATGTAAGGCCAGTTTGCAAATCTACGTGACACGCTCTTTCCAATGAGACATCAATGGATAAAATCGGTTAAGAAATGGCGGAGGAGTTCAACCGACAAAGTTTCATGTAGCGTATTAATTATATAGATTGTTAGCAAAAAATACGATGTTTATTTTATCCTATTGAGAGCAGTTAGCTTTGATAAAGGCACTTCCCAACATATTATACAACATATACAACGTGAGCATTTAAATTAACCTACTGTCAAAAACTCGGACGAATAGCTTACA